TTGTTTTTGTGGCGGAAAGTTTGTTTTTGGAGCTTATTGAAGCGCTTGTCTAGCTCTAAGAGTTGAGATTTCTTATCAATTGATTTAAAAAAAAATTGGAAAGCAAATTGGTGTTTTTTTTTAATATTGATTTTCTAAAGATAACTGGAGTCAATTAAACTTTATTAAAGTTCTCGTGTGAAAAAATGTGAAAATGAAAATGTTTCTAAAATAGTTATGGTTGGAACTTGCTGTGCTACTTGCACAGCAATTAGCAATTATTCTTCAAAATTTTTAAGATGTTTTATGTCTCCTTCATTTGTTGAACTAGTTGCCGAGCTTCTGAGCGTCCTGCGTTGAGCTCATGACTATGCTCGTTGCTCTGTGAGATTATATCGCTCCCAGAAGTGATTAAAGTTTTCGGGCATTTATACGATCTCCATTTGCTGCAGCGCCAGTGTGTCGTTGTCTTCGTATCGCGTTTCTTTTGAAATTCATGGCCATCAAGAATAATAAAAGTTTGGCCTTTTTGTGAGGTTCCCCAAGTAAAAGAATTCATTTTTGACTTATCAATGAGTTAAAGAGGGAGATAATGAATGCAGAGTGTATACATTTTCAATTAAGTTGTTCTAATTCAATGCCATATTAACACTAAATTAAACACATGTTGGCACTATGTTAATCCCAAAAATGAGTCCAGTTTAAATTTAGTTATCTTAAATTTGCATTGTTTTTCAATAGCGCGAACCTAATTGAGGTATCATTACTCTAGATTTATTTCTGCTTACACTTTGATCATGATTTTTGTTCATAATTCATGGGATCTTTTTAATTGGCATGGGATTTTATGGTATGGGCGATTTTTATACAAGGGATCTTTTGGTATGGTATCTTTTGTCATGGGAGCTTTTGGTATGGTATCTTTTGTCCTGACACCATTTTTTTATCGACTTTTAAAATCAAAAGTTTTTTTTTCGATAATGACAACAGCTCGTCATAAATATTAATTAGTAAGTTAGAAATAATATACACTCCCCTGGTAAATTCTAAATTATAAAGGCATTTGTTGTGGTACTAAGCAGCAGTATTGTCCCGTTGAGTTTCTCACAATACACTCATTGACTAAATCGTAGTACAAGTTGGCCACCACTCCTGCGTTGACCGAATCTATCTGATGAAGACAACTTGTGAACTTCTCATTGCACTCGCAGGGGTGAATTGGGTAACTATGAGGGTTCACTATTCCGTATCTCTCCGAGTGGGACATGATTGCGAATTGCGAACACTTGTCGTGGTAATAACAGCAGTGATCTATTTCCGATTCGGGACTCCGATGCTCCGAAGAGGATTGTAAGCCACAGTAATGTGTGCCTGGATAAACAGTGAGCTCCAGATTTTTGGCCACTTCTATAAGCCAGTCCATAACGCTGCCAAAAACTCCTCCGCTCTCAACCGAAGGCATAAGTAAGACAAAGATTATCCCGAACAACAGAAATGAGTGCTTTGAACATGACAATGACATTGGACGCCTTCGTTTAATTGAGGAACTATAACTTGGCGTCAGGAACATGTGACTTTTTCGTTGTACTACAGATGCTAGCTTGAAAGAGCGCTGAAATTGAAGACCCATCTTCTCTTGGAAAAAGTTTCACCATAAGATCGAAAGCGTCTAATCTGTGTTCTAATTACTTGCGAACTTTTTTTTTGTATAAGTAGCCAATTTATACACGTTAAAAATGATTGTAAGTAATGAAACATTCAAAAAATTGCTCAATACTTGATATAAGAAAAAGTAAAAGAAGCGATGAAAGCAATGAGATGAAAACTATAAAAACGTTTGAATACCAACTTCATGTGGTCAATGGTACTTGCGCAACAGATGTATGTTTACATTGCACCAAGAACGGTTAAAACCAGACACCGTTTGAAAAATTGAAACTGTTTCAAAGTTCAGTACCGACCAAAGTAAGCGGGAGCCATTCAACTGTGATAGTGTTGATTCCTTAATTGGTGCAATATTACAATTCTCATTGACTAATTTCAACGCTTGAAAAGTATCAATGCAGTTTACTCGACTATAGAAAACCTCAAATCTGTTACATAAGCAAAATGCGTAGCATAAATCATTGTTCCATGAAGTGTGATCCATAAAGAAGTCGTCAAAACACGTTTGATTTTGCGCAAAACATTGTTTTCTGTTTGACTAAATTTAAACAGTTTAATCTAGTAAATAGTCGAATGAACTTCCCCTAAATTTTCTCGCTGATTTTCTAAATTGGCGGTTGATTTTTTGAAGCTTTTTATAGTTGGTTTAAGGAATGAAGGGCGAATAATGTTCTCTAAATACGAAAGTTGAAGTGATCTCGGAAGAATAATTTATTTACCTTTTGATCAAATTTTCTGTTCGTGTAAGCAGCTATTATTGCACTTGTGAGAGCAAATGTCTTATAATCGAGAATAAAATTGTGAAGTTGCTTTATTAGTGAACCTTAGCAACTTCGAGACTCCTTCTTTCGTAGCCTAGCAGTAACGTGAGTGCCTTTGTACCCTTAGGTCTGGGTTTGTGTCCCGGTCAGATCTTGTTGTTTTTCAGTATGCATGAAAGTGAAAAAAATTTTCCGGAAAAATTGAATTGTCGTAATTTCGTTTGTATGCTCATGTGTTGTCCATTTAGTTGCCACATCGGGGAGTTTTCATGTGCTGCCAGCAATTTTAATCGTATATGCAAGTTTTTTTATTTACTCCATTAAATTGTGTAATTAATAGCCTTGATGTCTTATGTTTTCCTTGATTTTCCTTTGTTTGTTCTTTTTTTCGATTAAAAACTTATTTTAATTATCAAATCAAAATTCAGACGTGCTTGCTTATAAAAATAAAGGTCAATGGTTCGAATTCGTTCAGGACGTGCTTTTTGTTAGCGTAAAAATAGCGAGTCAAAAAATTTTGTCGACTTCTGTTTGTCTGCTTTTTTGTCGGCTTAGTTGCCGGATCACCAAATCGACCTAAATTTTGAGCAGTTTTAACTCAAATTAAAAAACATTTCAGCGTTTTTCGGTTTAGGCCAACTAATTGAGTTCTAAGAAGTTACCTATTTTGTTTGCTATTTTTAGATTTTTTTCTCATGCAGTTCATTAAAAATTTATGTAAGTTGTTTTGGTAACAATAGAAACATCCATGCTTGAGACGAAAAAATTCAAAGTTTGAGTCTAGCCGGGGCTAGTTTTTTTGTGGAAACTGAAATATTTCGAATGTTTTAGACTTACTTGTCAGCTAATTTTTGTCGGCTTAGATCCTGAAAAGTTGTACGGTTTCTCTTTAGCATTTTGAAAGCTTTGCAAAGTTTCTAATGTTGCAGATAATTTTATTACAGGGATTTTTTGTCCTTTTTTACAATAAAAAATAAACATTTTTTCAAGGTTTTTTTTCTAAATTTTGATTTGTCTCTTCATTTGCTGGTAACCATAGTCATTCATTTTGCTATCGCCTCTGTGTTAATTACTTCAAAAAAGTTGAAGGCGTCTACTAGTGATGATATTTTAAATCTATTATATATTTAACTGCGGGTTTCAATATCTTGCCATGTTTAAGCTTTTTCAACGTATTTTTTTTGCATGTTTAACGAAACAATTTTAGCACGTTTAAGCTATATCGTAGGTTAAGATTTTTTTTTTCGATTTTCTAGTTTAATTATTTCACCGAGGTTAAAATAAGCAGCCCAATAATAAACTGCTGTCCGGATTCCCCAATTAGTTGCAAATTTGGCCTCCAATTTTGAATGCCCAAATCCTTTTAGTCAAGGAGATAAGACGATTTTTGTGATTTTTTCAAAAACTTTCGGAAAACTCAAATTACGAAATATTTTTAAAAAACACGAAGGTCCCAACCCTGTAGTTGGGTACTGTCAGAGTACTATCAAAGATTGCGAATGTTGCCTCCAAATATGACTGCTCAAATCTTTGTAGTTTTGGAGATATGACGTTTTATGTGATTTTATAAAAAAAAATTCGGAAAACAATATTTTTTTTCAAAATCTGAAATTCCCAACCCTGAAGTTGGTCCTGTCACAGTAGTCTCAAGGATTGAGAATCTTATCCAAATATGACTGCTCAAATCCTTATAGGTTTCGAGATATGCACGTTTTTTGTGATTTTTTCAAAAAATTTTAGAAAAATTAAAATTATTTTTCAAATTATTAATATTTTTAATATCAAATTATTATTATCAAATTAATAAATTTGAAATTCCCAACCCTGTAGTTGGGTGCTGTCAGAGTACTCTAAGGAGTTGCAAATCTTGCCTTCAAATATGACTGTTCCATTTCTAGCAGTTTTCGAGATGACGTTTTTTTGTGATTTTAAAAAAAAAAATTTCAGAAATTTCAAATATTATATTTTTTATAATTTGAAATTCTTAACTTTGTAGTTGAGTGCTGTCAGGGTACTCTTAGGAGTTACAAATCTTGTTAGATGCGACAGCTCAATTGCTTCGAATTTCCGAGTTGTGACGTTTTTTTTTTTTTTTGATTTTTTTTTCCAAATTTCTCAACTTATCTACAAAGAAATTCACAAAATTTAAAACTACCAACTTGATGAAGACACAACCTTATTGTCAGCGTACACCCAGGCGTGTCAAATTTTGGCTCTAAATATGAATGCTCAAATCCTTATAGTTTCCGAGATAAAAGGTTTTTTTATGATTTTTTCAATTTTTTTTCGGGAAACAGGTTTAAAAAAAATTCACGAAATTTGAATTTTGAACCCTATAGTAGGGTGCTCTCAGGGACTCTCAGTGGCTGCAAATCTGGCCTCCAAATTTCTCCAGAGACCCATTAAATTTTCGAGAGATCGCTTTTATGGTTTTTAAAAATGGGAATTAAAAAGTTTGAAATTACCAACCCTGTAAAAGTTTGCAGATCTTGTTTCCAATATATGCGGTTTTTCATAAGTTATCGAAAAAATTCGAAGCACCGGAGGTGCGTTAAACGCTAGATTGAATGAATTCAATATTTTAAACTGATTTAGGAGTTCATGTTGTGTCTGCGAGAAGAGAACGGAGACATGCGCCAGTGTCTACCAGAGGGCAGATCAGTCACAGCATGTGGAAAGGAACTACTGAGCAAGATCAAAGCACAGTGTGCGGATGAGTTCACAGAACACGCAGGTTGTCTGCACAGGGACAAGATGGGATTCCAGAGACATTGTAGGAAGACTCAGTGGCCGTTTGAAGAGTGCATGGTGAAGAAACTGGGCATTGAGAAGCTTGGTTTAGGCGAAGTGCAAAAGGTAAAAATGAATGTTTTTTTTTGGTGATATACTTTTAGTTATTACACTGGCGTCAACTTGGTGTATTGTTACGAACCTTCTTTTTTTCTAACCTAACTCGCAAATAAAAGTGTTCATTGAAAGTGTTCACTTATTTGGAATTTTAACTGTAGCATTGGAAATTGCATTACATCTGTTTTCTGCTTTATTTGTGACTAGTGTTTGGCTATTACTTATTAAGCTTCCGTGGCTGAGTGGTTAGGGTGTGAGGCTCTTAATCTCTAGGTCGCAGATTCGAATTTCAGGTGTTGACGAATATTTTACTAATTCGAGGTTTTTTTTTTTTACTTTTTTTTCATATCGCTTTTTATAGAGCTGCTTTTTGTCGTGTTCTGGCTAGTGTTTTAGAAGCGAAGCTTCGCCTCTGTGTATCGATTTTACTCAGTAACGCATACAGAAGTTATAACTTCAAAGCCATTCAGTTATAAATTCAAAGTAAATGCAGACGTGCCAACCAAGCTCAAATATCACTTATAGTCACGAATATATGGAAAGTTCGGAAAGAAAATTGAAGATCAAAACAGATATTGGTAAAATTAGTTTCACATCGCACGGTCATTTAGAAAAATAATGTTCATGCCAAAAAGAAACGAAAATGATCTACTGCTTTTGAAATATGTTTAGTACGCTTTTTGAGTCAATGAACCTTAAGAGTCCTATATAGGCCGTGATGATTTTTTTTCAAGAAAACGTTTCACGCTATTTTGAAATTTTGCGTTTTGACTTTTGATTTCTTTTTAAGATAAGTTCATTTCCTTTGTTGGATTGAAGGCAAACTCCACTATCGAACAGTGAAAATATAAAGTTTACGAAAAACGCGATCGACTTCTGTTTTTGAAAGTAGATTTCAATTTTCAGATTTCCCAGCGGAATAAAAAATTTACATTTTGATCAAGTTTTTTCAAATTGGGTTGTCAAAAAGTGTCAATCATATATTCTTTTTGAAATTGAAAGAGCTTAATGGTCATATATTTTTTTCTTTGAAGTTCGAAAATGAAGTTTTTTGCCAGTTTTTTTTTGTTTTCTGTTCTTTGACTGCTGACTGCTTCCAACTGTCTGTTGAATTTGTTTTGCAACAATCTATGCAACTTAGTTTCGAATTTAGTTTCATTACCCTTGCGATAAGCAAGGGTGTTGCAAGCGTGTGCTAGATTTTTTTGCTCCATAAATGTAACTATTTTTTTTTCACAAGTTTCATTCATCTTCGGACATGCTCAATATCTTGAAAGTTCAAAAAAAATACTATCATTTAAGTAGTAATTAGTTGAATCCTGTTTCAGGTTGTAATTGACTTTTCAAAATAATATCTCATTTTTTTTCGCGTTCGTAGTTTTCGTCCTAATTCTATAACTGAAAATTAGCAAATTTGTAAATTGACCAAGTCTGATTTTGAGTTTTTTGTTCTTTTTTTTTCTGTTTTTTTTCTAAAATATTTGATTAGTTTCAGTTTATGTTATATCGCCATAGTCAAGTTTTTGCTTAATTTCGACTGCAAATATATCCATATGCAATTGTGAGCTTCTCTTTGGATGAGTCGTAAAAACTTTTAAAACATGAATGTTTTTATGACAACAGTTTTGTTTTCGGCTCAACCGGTTTCGATCCGAAACAACATGAAGTTTTTCTAGCTGTAATTTTAAACTTTATACAGGTTATTTTTCCAAGTGATTTTTTCCAACTAAATTTTTCAGATTTTTTACCGCTGTCTTTTTTTCCATTCACTATCTCCTTTTGCTCTGTTTCGCCTCTGTGTTCCAATTTGACCTCTGAGAAATCTTAATGTGATTTAATATTAATTAGTTCGTATTGTGTTGTAGTATCGAGTGATGGACACAACTAGACCTCGTTTCGACCACGAATCCCTTCGGATAAATAAGAAGCCGCCTGCCCCACATGAGTCCAAATACGACCCAGACTACAAACCACCCGGAGGCTGGTGGGCCAACCCCTTTTTCAAAACCTAGTGCACAATCTAGTAGAATTTGTCTGAAACTGAACTCTAACTTGTTAACTGGGATTTATAAAGATATTAAAAACAAAACTGAACAATTTATTTTTAACAGATTTTTTTTTCAAGAAAGTTTTAAAGAGTGCGTGAAACTGAAACAGAATTAAAGTAGATATCAACGTTATCTACAATGGAATTGTCGAAGTTTCCAGGAAAGATAACGATTACAACTGCAAGAAACGTAAGTTTTTGCAAATTGATATTCTTTGTCATAATTTTTCTGAGAAGATGTTATTTACAGTCGATGAACGTAGTGAAGCTCTTTTATAAGATGTGATGATGTTGTTTTAAGAGTCGATGAACGTAGCGCAGACTCCTATTTAGGTTGTGATGATTTTTTTGTTTTTTCTAGAAAATTTTTTAAATTTTGCTCATGCTCAGTTTTACTTTTTCGCGGTTTGAAATTTGATTTTTTTAAGTTCCGTTCATTTCCTTTTTTAAAAAGAAGATAAACTCCACTATCGAACAGCGAAGGTGTAAAGGTCACGAAAAACGTGATCGACTTCTACTTTCGAAAATGGTTTTTATTAATCAGATTTCCCAGCGGCATAAAAATTTCACCTTTTGATCCAGTTTACTCAAATTGGGTTAATTTTATAAAAAAAGTGCCAATCATGAATTTTTCTTGAAATTCAAAGAGTTTTATTGCAAAATATTTTTTATTTTTTTCTCTTTGAATTTCAAAAGTTGAAGTTTTTTCAAAAAACAAGTCTTTCAAAAAACCAGTTGTTTCAAAAACTAAGTTATTTTTCTGTTTCCTTGCGTTCATTGACTCTTTTGCAACTGTCTGTTGGCTACCTTTGATTACGATGACTCTTATTGACGCATGCGACTTCATCAATTGCTAGCGGGATGTGTCTGCGGTTGTGAAATCACGATAGAAACATGGGTTTCAATGTTTGCGAGGTGGATACTGCTAGTCATACCAGGTATAGTGATAACGTCTTATTACCAGACCATAAACAATAAACGATTTATTCGGCTAGTGTTGACATAAATGAAGTGCACATGGCGGAGATGGGCAGATGCTAAGACTCCAGCAGATGCTAGACAGGTGTAGCTACCCTGACCATCAGCTTGGCCTCTGCTTAAATGAAGTGGTCAGAGACGTTTTTCGGAAAAGTGACCCGGAAAACAATCTGGAGGACTTGAGTGTGATCCAAGGATTCATGCTTCTCAGGAGGAATCAATGAGCAAAGAGACAAACTGAAGTTCTTCTTCTGAAGATAATTTGAACGCACGAAAGTGCTTGAGGGCGGCGGCAGACTGAGTTAGAACAAATTGTGGTAGGGGATTAAAACTATATGTTTGCTAGCATGGTGTGCTGTCATGCGAAAACAGTGGTGAGCTTGGCTTCAGTTATAGTAGCGGCGGAAAATGACTATTTGAATTGGCAGCAATTGTTTATTTTATTTTTGAGCCCGGAAAGTATATGCCAGATGGCCACAATAACCAAAGTTTAGAGCTCAGGCTGCTTTTTGAATAATCTGTTAATAGTGTAGAGACGCGTGAATTTCAATTTCCGGAGTAATTAATTTTTGCCTGAATTGAAAAGAGTAAGACCTATGATCTCGAGAGAAAACAGCCGAATCAGAAATTTTTGTGAGCAAAAAATTCTATGAGCGGTTGAATGTCCCACGTTTCGCCCCTCACACTTTTCGCCCCTCTTAAATCTAGTGGCACATTTCGCCGCTCACACATTTCGCTCCTAATATTTGCGTACATTTCGTCCTCGCACGTTTCGCCCCTAACTTATTGCACAGTTAATTAACGCCGCTTTCTTAATGTACATTTTAGGTGCGAAATATGGGGGACCGATCAATTAGCAGACCAATCTTTTAGCATAAAAAGTTAAAAATAATTCTTTTAGCAGACCAACGTAATAAAGTGATAGATGATTGATTGACAGACTCAAAAAGACGCTCAGTCTGGGGCCAAGCTTCCCCAATTAAGACAATTATCTCGCAATTTGTAAACAAAACTATCATCTTGAAAAACACAACAGTCTAATTTTGCGGGAAAACAAAGAGTTACGCGCATAATAATCCTCGTGTTGAGTTGAAGCGCAGCGGAGCAAGCGGTCGCTAATCGCCAATGCTGCGTTTGAAGTTAGCTATCACTTTTTATAATTGTTCTGAGTGGTGGGTATTCATTAGTACCAAAATGATAAATCAGTCCCATTTGCACCAAAATAAAAAATCAATCGCGATAGTACCAAAAATATTCAATTGGCCTAAGACTATTCAGCCGACTACTTAAAGCTCTTGGTTTAAGGTCGCCGGTGGGCGCGCTACGCGCGAGTCGTCGCTTCGCGGCGATAGTCGGCTCTAATTTTCATATAGAGTTCTACCCTCTGTTGGCAAGCTCGCCACACGTTGGCGCGACTGCGGGCGTCACTATTCTGCTGTTCAGGTTTCTTCCGTTTGAACAGTAGGCAATTATTGTAATAATTCGTTGGCTAACAATTCGACCAATCAGAAATCGAATTGAATATTTTTGGTACAAATGGGACCGATTTTCATTTTGGTACAAATGAACCTTGGTACAAATGGGACTTCACCGTTCTGAGCCTGCTAAAAAACCGGTCTGCTAAAATCCCTAGCACCCGAAATATGCCAGTAATTTATAAGGGGCGAAATGTGCCACTAGATTTAAGAGGGGCGAAATGTGTGAATACCGAGCGTTTACGAGTAGTTTTCATTGCTAAACTTGCGCTTGAACACACTAAACTTGCGCTTGAGTTAAATCTTGAACACACGTAGTCCATTTCTTTGATCTCTTAAACTATTGCAACCAGTTCAAAATGAGTAGATTCGTTACTAGGTACAAAATTCACTTATGCTTTACCAATGAATTAGTTCATTATAGGGGTGGAAAATTGTTACTAGGTTCCATAAGGGAGGATCTAGTTAAATATATCACATTTCTCTTGATTGATGTGATCGTTTTGGTCTTTTCCTCTTCAACTATGTGATCTTTTATTTAAGATTTTTATGCGACCCGAAAATGCGCTGCTCACCTCGCTTCAGCCTTGTGACATCGGGCTTAGACTCCAATTTTATAAGTTATTCTTTATGCACTGTGGCGAGTACTATCATGGGAAGTGTATTCAATTTTTATTACGTCTACTTTTTTCTTGACGTATACAAGGTTTCGCATTCCTGCTTCCAATTTTCCCAGATGATGTTTCTAGTCTGGAATGCAATCAACGATCCGCTGTTCGGATGGATTCAGGTGAGTAAAATACGAGAAAAGCGAGTCTTAGTTGCTACTACTGTTTGCATTGCTGTTGAAATAAGTTTTTTTCTCTAAAATTAACAGGTAAATTTGCAGCCTAAACGGTTAATGGGTGATGTCCCATTTGTACCAACGTTCATTTGTAACAAAATGAAAAATCGGTCCCATTTGTACCAAAATTATTCAACTCGTTCTCTGATTGGTCGAATTTGAGCCAACGAAATATTACATTAATTTTCTACTGTTCAAACAGAAGAAAACTAAGCAGCAGAGTAGTGACCGCCGCAGTCGCGCCAACGTGTTGCGAGCTTGCCATTAGAGGGTAGGACTCTAAACGAAAATTAGAGCCGACCTTAAACCAAGAGCTTACAATAGTCGGCTCACTAGTCTTTGGCCAACTGAATATTTTTGGTACTAATGCGATTGATTTTTTATTTTGGCACAAATGGGACTGATTTATCATTTTGGTACTTGTGAATACCCACCCGGTTCATGCCAGAACCTCGTTTGGTGAATGACGAAATAGGAGATAAAATAATAATTGTTTCACAGCTAGTTTGCCCTCGAAAAAAAACACCTTAATTACAAAATGATAGCTAATAACTATATTCAAGTGTAAGTTGTGCAAAATGAGTTTATTATTTTTAAACAGAATATAAGGATGTGATTAGAACAAATACTCGCAATTAAAATAAGTTTGAATTGTTTCCATGAAACTTTTCCATAGGTTGACATAGATGGATCTTCACTAAAATAGACAAAAAATGATTCTTAAGTTCAAATTTCAATGCTATATAAGTTAAGCTGCTTATGTTAATAAGATGAGAAGTTGAACTTTCTTCAGTCATCGCATGTTTTAATTGCCCATCTCTTTCAATTAATTTTATTAAGAGTAATGAACGTAGTGAAGACTCTTATATAGGTCGTGGTGATTTTTTTGTTTTTTTTTTGGAGAAAGTCTTAAAAAACTAATAACTAAAGATGTGCATCCATACGTATTAATGAATTTATGAATGCCTTATATATACATACATATATATGTATAAATATGCACTTTTTGAGCTCATTTGAAAAGTTACGTAAATAGCACTCTCCAAAAAAGAACGTGGAAATGGCGCGAAAAAAGAAAAAACGTGATTAATTTCTATTTTCGAAAGTAGTTAACTTTTTAAGATTTCCAGCTGAATAACAGCTTTAGCTAGTGATCCAGTTTTTCAAGCTGAGTTAATGTTATCAAAAAAGCGCCAATCATAATAAATTGTTCTAGAATTTCCAAAAGTTTTAAGGGCGTCTATTTTTTTATTCAAAAGTTTTTTTTTCTGTTTACTTGCGTTCATTACTCTTTCCCAACTGTCAGTTGGCTGTGTTTAGATTCGTTGTTATACAGCTTAAATTTATTGCGGGGTAGTATAAATGGCTTAAAACTAAAATGTTCTTTAATACTATACGAGTTTTGATTGTCAGCGGATTCTTTAACGATTGTTAAGTTTTGATTGCGCACGCCATTTTTTTCAAAGACTTTTGACTCTCACTTGAAAGTAAGAAACTGATAGAGAGTTACTCCTAAATATTTCACTGGTTTTTTTCTTATTTTAATATCGTCTAGTATAATGCTAATTTTTGGATCGTGCTTTTTTGATGTTTTAAACAGAATACGGTTAATTCAGTTTTGTTTGTATTGAGTTTAAAAAAGTGTCCTGTAAAATAAAGCGACAATTTTTAACAAGAGTCCCATAATCCTGTAATAGCTGTAAAGTTTTTCAACGTTGGTGTTATTGTAGAAATAATTTTATCGTCTGACTATTGCACCACTTTGTACATTTCCGCTAGATGTTCCTTCAAGTAATTTTTGTACAGGTTAAAAATCAAAGGTACCAAAATTATACCTTGCTGTACAACTTGGTGTAGTCAGATGACATAGCTTTCTGATTTAGTTACATCGGTTTTTTGTTGTTGCCTGTTGCTTTTAAAACTATTAATCATTTCTTTTGCTGTTTTAGAGAATCCTATTATGTTTCAATTCAGTCTTCAAATGTTCATGATTAAAATCATTGAACGCTGGTTATTAGATGATAGACTTCCATTGTTTTGTTTGCTTTTTCAAAAAATTTTCAAAAAGTTTTAGTTAGTGTGTCTGAAATGGAGATTGGTTTTTAATTCTCTGCCCTTTCTGGGTTATCTTTTTTGTTTTTGTAACCATAGCTTTTTAAGGTTAGATGGTAGTAGTATGCATATAGTGCGTTAGGATCGGGGGGGGGGGGGGGGGTTGTCATACATGGATGACCATTAGGTATAAATCATAATGGTCACCATGTATTAAATGATAAGCAATGGTCACCATGTAATAATCCTAATTGTTACCATGTATAATTTTATACCTAATGGTCACTATATAATAATCCTAATTGTCACCATGTATAATTTTATACCTAATAGTCCTCATGTAAAACTTCGGTATATTATTGAGTATTCCCACTGAACGTTGTGGAAACGGGAATGGAATTAGGTTTTGGTCGGTGCATGTTTTCCCTTCTAAAGTTTGGGGGTATTGGTTTGTTTACATGTAAAATGACGTTATATACCTATTATATGCGACCAAACTATATGGCATATAGGAAAGCACAAGATTTTGGCAGCGTAGCTTAACTGTTGGCTGCGGTGAACGATTTCCTTCAAAAATGCATGTTTTATTGCTGAATCTCGAAGAAATGAAAATTCGTCAAGTGCGGCGGCCGCCACCTCTATTTAGGCAAAAATTAATAATCAATTTGACCAAAATAAGAATGAAAAATTACTTTAAGCCAAATGAAGCTAAAAAATAAGGAAAAATTCTAAACACTGAAAACTCTAAAAAAATGAAATTGGCTTGAAAATTTCGACATTTCCATTTTCCGTGTCTACAGGAGACTAAAAAAACGTCTGAAATCTATGACAAAAGCTTTGATTTTATAGAAAGATTGAAAGAGCTAAAAGGTTGAAGTGGCTAAAGATCTTGAAAAACGAGAACACTGATGAAAGCCAAAAGTGCCCATTAATTTTGCTGCAACCATTTCTAAGACTTGTACCTAACTTGTTACTATAAAATTGAAGTGGAACAAAATTTCTTGGGGTCCGAGTAGAGGAAAACGCATGGCGCTCGACTCTCAGCCGAAAGGCGGCGTTTCGAAACCCGTCCGGAAATTGTACTGAAAGGAGGCAACAGTTGCTGGTATGGTGATATCCCCCCATAGATCGATTTTGTACTTTTTTTCTCACTTTGATAAAAAGCTTAACTTCTCGAATTACTGCTATTCAGTTAACAATTGGGTAAAATTTCAATTACTAAAAGAATGTATTGTTCAAAATTAAATTGTAAAATGTATAAATCAACTATATTAAATGGTTAGTTAATGGGTAAGCATGTGAGTTAGGAAACGTTTCAAAACATGATCAGTTATGTAAACAAAATCAGAAGCATCACCATTAAAGTTTTTATCAAAAATCAAATGTGCAATATAAATACAAAAAGAACCGCACATGGTAGAGTTTGAGTCTTGCATGGGAAAGTTTGTCATCAATTCAGTCACCTGATGAAAATTCTCGTTCAATCGTTTATACAGATTGGTGTACTGCCAAAGAGGAAGACCGAGAGGATCAGCGAAGTATAAAACATTTCTTCTGTTGCATATCACAATCCAATGTGTCCCCGGAGAATCTGATTTTGAAGTGTTCACAATCATAAAGATATTGTTTGGGATGTGGGGTGGAAAATTGTCGGCTGCAAATACTCCAAAAAACTTATATTTCAGATGTTTACAATTCTGAATGAGGTCCTGCAACTGGGTTTCATCCATTTTCAGACTATCGAAATGGGAAGGACGTTCTTTGTAACTTTGCGGTCGGAGGTAATAAATACATTGGATGAGCGTATACCCCAAACAAAAATTTCCAGGTTTGCTGTCAAAGCGTTTGAGAATTGAAGATCGAGTGAAACTGAGCAGTTAGTAAGTTCTGGATGCAAGAAGTCATGAGCTGCCTGCTGTGTGCTAGTGAGATCAAAACACATAATAAAGTGCTGTTGGTAGTTATCCAGAGTGATTCCCAGCCCGCAGTGCAACAAACCCAGCGCTGATAGTGTGTTGAAGAAGAGACGTTTATGATCTTGTGTACTGATTGGTGTACTTGCTATTGGTAAACCATTTCGTCTCAAAGTAACTTGCTCCAATCCAAATTTTTGATAATGAAAAGGATTCGTTCGGTTTGTTCCTAGAAATGCATTATTTGTGTTCAATGCTATGATAATTTGTCTCACCGGTTCACGAGCAAAAATATCTTCCTGTTGCCAGCTGCGCTGACCAGCTGTTGCAAGAAATGTTTTTGTAATTTCTTCTTGATATGGGTAGTTCGCAGGAGTTTTGAGCAAAGTTGATTCAATGGCAGAGAGCACATGGTCAGTCACAGTCATTTTTCTAACATATAGGTTCGCTTCGAGTATTTGCAGCTTGTAATGCTTGGCAGCATCTTCCGATATAATGAGAAAGTCTTCATGAGAACGTCTGTAGGAAAGTCTGAGGGTAACACCGCTCAACAAATGCTTGTCACATGTGAAAAAATCAACTCCAGCGGGTCCATAGAACCAAATTTCCCTCGATTCACGGACCAGTTCTCGTTGAGATGTGAAATCAGCTGCATCTATTGCAGCGGGATTGTTTTCAAAACGATATCCCTGACACTTAAGTCATGAGTCCGTGGCTCTTTGCTGTTAGAAAATTCTGTTCCAATAAAGCTTTTATGCGCAAAATTACTATTGGCATTTGAGATTTTGAGTCCATTAGCAGAGAGGGTACAGTCAGAGCAAAGGGAATACAGGGAGTTGTTTACGAGAAACGGTGAATCAGATACAGTAGGATCAGTGTTGTCGTATCGCAGATCAGCTCCATTTGTAGCCTAAATTAGTGAAGTTTTTTCGATGATTAGGTTCAATGCTGCAGGCACTACCGTTTTTGATGCGTCTATTT